AGCCGGCCCGACCCGGCTTCGCGGGCGCCCCCTGCGCCCCGCGTGAGAGCTCGCGGCGCCAAACGGGCAGCGGAAGGAAAGGCGCCCTCCACGGGAGACAGGTCTGCTGGGGACGAGGGTGGACAGCCCGGGCTGCAGTCACCTGCACTTGCTGGGATGGGCTTGAAGTCGGGGCCTGGCGCTGCCCTTCAGCTTTGGTGCTCGAGGCCAGCGCTCTATCCCTTGAGCCACAGCTCCTCTTCTGGCTCTTTTTTTGATAGTCTCACAGGCTTTGCTGCGCAGGCTGGCTTTGAACCGTGAACCTCAGGTCTCAGCTTCTGAGTAGTTAGACGTGAGCCACAGCACCCAGCTTGATGATAGGGAGTTTTGGCTAAGTGTAGAGCTGTTCTTGAGTGGGAAGTTCCCTGAATATCTAGGGTGTCAGAATTAGAGTGTACCTCTTATTCATTTCTAGTGTGTGCACGGATCGACTAACCTGCCCCAACTTCCTCATCAGATGTGCTGGTTTTGTGAGGTTGATATGATGCTGAGGTGAGATTTAAAAAGTTAAAAGTCACATTATAAGTTTTGTTTCTTTTTGAATTTCAGAAATGTTCTTTCGGATGCAAAAGGCTGAATGGATATGAATGGATCCTTTCTTCCTCACAAGCCCAGTAGTAGGCGCTGAGAGGGTCACTTCTCTGTAGAACATTTGCCAAGGTAATCACTACTTTTTTTTTTAACTTTACCACTATTTTCAGTCATGTATATATATATATATATGTAAAACATACACTGAGCACTGAGCTACAGAGAGAGAGCAGGTCCTTGCCTTAACAGATCCACACTGCTTAGGGCAGCTAATGAAAGTCAGTAGGAGTTCAGACCACATTGATGGGTGCCATGGTGGGTACACATACAGGGTCCTGAGAGGCAGAGAAGGTTTCAGGCCAACTGGAAGAGAGGATGAGGCCAACCAGCCTCCCAGATGCAGTGGCACCCAGGACACATTACACAGTCATTGTTCTCAGGTCCAATTTTCTCAGAATCATTAGTAGAATGCTTCACTCCCTTCCCCTTTTTTTTTGGGTCAGTACTGGGGGCTTGAATTCAGGGCCTTATGAGCTCTTCCTGAGCTTTTTCACTCAAGGCTGGTGCTCTACCATTGAGCCATACCTTCACTTCTCCCTTCAGGCTTTTTGCTGATTAATTGGAGATAAGAGTTTGTTGAATTTGTCTGCTGGGATTGGTTTTGAACCTTGATTCTCAGATCTTGGCTTCCTGAGTAGCTGTGGTGCCCAGCAAGTACACACACATATAATGTGATATGTATATATATATTTCAAATAAGTAAATTTTGCATATTTTATATGTATGTATATGCATATATATACATATACATACACACATATACACAGGTACATGCACACACACATGCTGGTACTGGGGTTTGAATTTAGGGCCTCATACTTGCTTTGCTATCAGTCTACCACTTCAGCCAATCCTAAAACTTTATCTTAGTTCTAAGGAGAAGATTTTTGTTGTTGTTGTTGGTCATGGGGCTTGAACTCTGGGCCTGGGTGCTGTCCCTCAGCTCTTCAGTTCAAGACCAGCTCTCTACCGCTTGAACCACAGTGCCACTTCTGGTTTTCTAGTGGTTTATTGGAGAGAAGAGTCTCAGACTTTCCTGCCTGGGCTGGTGGGCAGGAACCTCGATCCTCAGATCTCAGTCTTCTGAGTAGCTAGGATTACAGGCGTGAGCCATTGGTGCC